AGGAAGATGGTGACAAAATAAAGCCTGTCCCTATAAATTTGCCAACATCCTCCTGAGACCCAGGGCCTGTAAATAGCTGAGTACTCATCTTTATGAAGCTTCCATATCTTAAGCTCTTGAGTCCCATCCATCCAGACCTGTTCACAAGCACTCAGTTCCTGAGCTCTTACTTCACCTCTTACTTCACCTCTTGTCTGTGATGCCTCCCAAAACTGTGAGTGCTTAAGACAGACTAAAAATTAAAATTCAGTGTTCTTTCAAACCAATTATCTACATTTTTGTTCATTTATTTTAAGAAGAGGCTGCTTGAGGAAGAATTGTGATGCTTGATTACTGGTGGTAGCACAAAAGCTCTCCTCTCTTGCCCTAAAAAAATCAGCTCTGACTCTATATCCAGTTACCAACATAATGTGTAACAAACCAATCCAACATTGTGGTTTAAAACAATAGCCATGTAAGGGCTGGGTGTGGTAGCTCACACCTGTAATCCCAGCACTTTGGGAGGCCGAGGTGGGCAGATCACGAGGTCAGGAGATCGAGACCATTCTGGCTAACGCAGTGAAACCCTGTCTACAGTAAAAATACAAAAAATTAGCTGGGTGTGGTGGTGGGCACCTGTAGTCCCAGCTCATCAGGAGTCTGAGGCAGGAGAATGTTCAGGAGGTGGAGCTTGCAGTGAGCCGAGATCACACCACTGCACTCCAGCTTGGGTGACAGAGCGAGACTCTGTCTCAAAACAAAACAAAACAACAGCAACAAAAACCAAAACAGTAGCCATGTATGATTTCCCATGGGTTCATGGGTTCACCAGCCAGCTCTACTCATCTGACCAGTCTTGGCATGTCCCAGCTGGGCTCATTTATGCATCTGTTCAGCTCGTGTGTCAGATGAAGGTGAGACAGGATATTTCCCTTGACCCCTTTGCAGGACTTGTGAAGGGGTGATTTGTTCACTCAGCCTGCAGCTCTGAACCCCTCATGACAGGGGGAGGAACACACAGGTGAGTAGGTGCAGGAGCTGGGACAAATGAATGCTGGAATTGGCTGGTCGTTCCTCTCGGGTAGAAGCACGCTCTGTGTGGGTCCTGTGGCAGCATCATAGTGTGTTACAATGCTCTTTTAGCTCTGCTGTCTGGGAGGGGGGTGTCTGTGACCTCTGGAGCTTCAGAGGGAATGTGTTACAATTAGTGCTGTTTTAGCATTTGCTATCCACAAATGGCTAAGTGTTAACCAACTGAGTGGAGGGTCAGGGTGCCAGCCTCTTACACCCTGCCCTCTTGGTACCTGAGTTCTTGTCCGGTGTCCAGGAAGAATCAGGTCACACGAATGAATTGAAGGGTGGTGTATGCAGAGGATTTTATTGAGCAGTGGAAGTAGCTCTCAGCGGGAAGGGGAGCTGGAAGGGGGATGGCGTGGGAAGATGATCTTCCCCTGGAGTTCTGCTGTCCTTGGCTGAACTCTTCCCCAAAATCCCACTGTCAAGCCATTCCTCTGAAGTCAAGCTGCTTTTATCTGACATCCAGCTGCTGCTTTTCTTCTCTCCTTCTCTGCTGCCCTGCTCTGCTCTCCTGCTAGTGGAACTTGGGGTTTTTATGAGTACAGGGTGGTTTTGGAAAAGCAACATTCTGATGGGAAAACAGTTCTCATTTAGGGCTGAGGATCCAGGTTTGCCAGGGACCCCACCCTTTTCTACCTAGTATTTCCCTGCCTTATGCCCATATCAAAGGCTGCCTCATTGAGGGCCATAGCTAGGATTGCTTTGATCTCCTCCATGGACCTGCCACATGCCCATGTCTCATGCCCACACATCCCTCTGGCAGACTAGCTTGCCTGGGTTCTCGTGACAGTCACAGAGAAACAATGGAGGAAATAGGAAAGCTCACACATTTTGAAGAGCTTTTTATGTGTCCGATTTGCTAGTGTCCCATTGGCCAAAGGAAGTCACAAGGCCCAGCCCAGAGTCAGAGTGGGTGGGGCCTGCACAGTTACAGGATGAAAAGCCTGAATTTCGGGAGGCCATTAATTAGGGCTGTTCATACACTAAATTTGCCAGAGGCCGCAAACATGAACATCCCACACTGACAACCAAAGCTTCCAATAATTAGGACCCACTATCTCAGAGGCATTTCTTTTGGGAGGAAATCTGTGTTCCATTGCTGCACATTTGGGAAATTACTAAGCTTTTACTGTGGATGATTGGACACCAGCTGGGAGAGGTAGGAGTCGGATCACTGGACCCTTCTTTCATGTGGGTTTGAGACTCTGGCTACTCTGAATTGCTAGAGCAATCTTGTTGAGCAATGAGGACTTGGTCATTGTCATTATCATGGTATTGGTCATGCATTTGCAGATAGATGGTAAAACTGATGTTTTTCCTCTTAGTAGGATTTAAATTTATAAGGGAAGGGCAAGGGGTACAAGGTTTTCCATATAATGGCTTTACTCCCTAAGGAGATGTGGTCAGTCTTGGAGAGACAATAATGTCCTCAATCACTATTCAAGAGCCACTAAAATGATGTAATGCAAACAGATTTTTTATCAAAGGCCACAGAAACTAATTTATATACTGTGCTTTTCTGACCCTCTTTATCTTCCTAACTACAGGACATAAATGATAAATGTTACTAAAATATTACACAATTCCAGAGGGATCCCAGAACTTCTTCAACACTGCATTTGTATTATGTTGTAAAACTTCTCTTTAATTTGGCAGAAAGTGTGTTTTTTTTAAAATAGTTTCTGGAGTCTGTAAAGAAATGCCTTGTTTGAAGTGAGTTCCTTATCTCATTCAAACTGGGACCTGCCTGTTAGCTAGGCATGCCACATTAACTGCAGCTCACATGTAGTGCCAGTGGCAACCAGGCTGTTGCTTAACAAGGATGCATAATAACTAATTGCATTTTAGGCCATTGGTTTGTCACTGTGACAGTGCCAAGTAACGGTTTCACAAGTGAAGCAATGAGTCCAATTCTGTCTCACTTATGAGCCTGAAAATCATAAAACAGTCTGCTCCCCAGGAATATGATGTTCTCAAGGATTTTGGCGTGTACTGTAGCATGTCCCGTCCGCTGCCAGACTTGATTGAAATCTGTGTCTCTATTATGGATCCTTGATGTCAATCATCAATTGTCATAATCCTCAAAAGTACTTACTTAGTCTTTTCCCACGTTCTGCATCAATAGCCTGTAGAGACAAAGGCTTCAAACTAGGAAGGCAGTGTTTAACCTTCCTAATTAATGGCTTTGGATGAAAGAACATCTCCAAGGTGCTCAGAAGAAAGAGATTCTATGGGGATTTTATGCATTGCTCTTTTGAGATGCTTTGCATGCTGGTGTATAATTTGCAAGTACATAAGGAAGTGAATGCTCAGAATATAATATTCAGAGCCCATCTATTTATGTTTGTGTTTAATAAGTTCTTTGTAAATCTCAATTTAGCAGATGTCTTCTGACTCTAAATAAAGCTCTTCATGAGGGAGTCAGTGTGGCTGTATGACAAAAGTCACATTATCATTTGAGTACAAATATTTGCAAAATAGAACAAACTGGAAAATTGAGGGAAAAATACCCACTGGAATTTGTGACTCATTAAATTCTCATGTGCATGACATATTGGGAAAAACTGTGCAGTGCTTGGTTCAAAGGATGCTTTCCCTCTTCCTTTCTTGGCTTTTGGCACTAATAAAAACTTTATGGAATGTGTGTATCCTCTCATGCCCCACTTTTTGTATGAAAGCATATTCCTAGATGCCATTATAATGTGTGTACGTGTTGTATTTTTTGTTGCAAAGTCCAAAAGGTACATGAAATGGTCACTGGTCCATTGGCAGGCTTATTTCTAAGGGATGTACAATGACTTTGTGCCTGTAACAGCCTGGTCCTCACCCATGCTCAAGTCTTTGCCCCCAAGATGACATCTCTCCAGTCTCTATCTCCTTCCTCTCTTTTGAATTTGCTCGTTCTGACTTTTTGCCGCTAAATGTCATTCTATGACTGCATCCGTGGTGTTCAGGTTATCTTGGTTCTGGTTTTAGCCCAGATGTTGACATTCAGGTCTCTATCAGCTCCATCTTCTGTAATCTCTAAGCAGTCTTGTTTCACTTCTACATTGATCTGCGGTTTGAGGGGTCCTGGATTCTTTGCGAAGTGAATTTAAACAGAAAGGACACCAAGATGGCATTTACAAATCTCTCCAGAGCTTCAGCCTTACAAAATTAGTTATATTTCCCCAAAATAAAACTCCCTTGCTAATCTGCTAGGGTGCCTCCACCAAAGGAAGGATCCAAATAAATCTCAACCTGATTTATGTTTTTGGCCTCTGTTACTTCTAGAACTAAGAATTCCATAAGTTTATTACACACTGTGTAAAGTAACATTTTTACTTTCTCTAAGACATCATCCTTCAAGCCTTGATTCTGGAATGTGGGGGCTCTCGACCCCGATGACTTCATCTCGCTTTTCTTGATTTATAAGTATCCCAGCGTGGTGAACATAGTGAAATCCTACTCCTACAGAAAATACAAAAAGTAGCCGGACATAGTGGTGCGTACCTGTAGTCCCAGCTACTTGGGGGGCTGAGGTGGGAGGATCGGTGGAGCCTGGGAGGCTGAGTTTGCAGTGAGCCAAGATCATGCCACTGCACTCTAGCCTGGGTGACAGAGCAAGACCCTGTCTCAAAAAAAAGTGTATGTGAGTTTCCTTCAGACTTTGAGTTTCCAGATTGAGAATTTTATTTATTATCATTAGATGACAATGTTTCTATTCATGGGTGCAGACATAACTGAGAAGACAGATGCCTAGCCAGTAATTCCTTCTGCAGGCTATTCAGAAAAGAACTGCTCTGATTTGTAGTTTCTATCAGCAGGAAATACCCCTGTTTGAGGTTGTTCTCATCATTCACTATCTTCTTATAGTAAGCCTACCACGTCTTATGATCAAGTTTCCTATCCCATTAGGATTTTTTTCCCTTTGTCCTGAATGTTTCCACTTTCTGATATTGTATTTAAGTATCCGATGGAAGCGTTATTTTATTTTATTTTATTTTTAACTAAAACGTGTTTATTGAGATGGTTTCCCACTCATCTTGATTCAGAGTGCCGTTAGTGCTGCTTCCTTCTAAAGGAACATCCTTCTGTAAGCCTTGCTTTTCCTCCTGTAGGCTGACAGAGGACAGTGGAGCAGCCAACACACAAAACTACCGTTTGTGCATGGCTAAAGACCGTGCTGATTTTATAGCATCCTGGGCATTTCACACCCATGAAGTAGGAATTGGGGCTCTGCACCAGGAGTTTCTTATTGTGTTTCCTCTTCTTCTCTTCTGGGGAGGGATGAAGGAGATCCTTTGCGAGAGGCATGTTCTCATGTGGGTAGGTCGTCACCGCCGGAAAGCAGAAGCATTATTTTCTATACTGCCAATTGGTATCTCCCATTGGCATTCTGATAGGGGGATTCCCATCTATGAATCATCCAAGTAGAGATGGAAAGTAAGGTAGTTGGATACTAAGTTCTGGAGCTCAAAGGAGAGATCATAGGTAAAAATATAAAGTTGAGGTCATAAGCATTGGATGATACTGAAGCCATGAGAATGGATGAGGTCTCTCAAGGAGATAATGTTGAGGAATGAGAGGAGAATGTTGTTATGACTCAACTCACAATGATACCTCAATTCTACCAGGTTGATATTCTGCTCATTACCTGATTACAGTTATTTGTTTATGTCTTCACTCATACAGTACTGCATCTTATGGCACAAAATTTCTTAGCCTCTTTCAAAGATGTGAGTTTTAAGTGTTGTTAGTGGTTTCTTTTTTGGTAATTATAACTCATTGAAGATGTTGTTCAGAAAATCTTTTCCTTTTATCCCTGGGAGTCAGGGAAATGGTGCCTCCCCAAGAGTGACAGTCCTTCTCTCTCACTTTCTCAGTCTTGCCTTCTCTCCTACCACCACCTCCTTCCTCGCCTAGTTGAGATGTCCCAAAGAGAGTTGTATGAAAGTCACCAATACCTCAGGATTAGGAGAAGCATCTAGGCCCCAGTAGGCAAATATTTCTCAGGACCATGGTCAGCATAGCACACCTGTCCTGATTTCCACTCCACCCTCTGAGCTTTTTTCTTTTCCTTTTAAAACAGGGTCTTGCTATGTTGCCCAGGCTGGAGTACAGTGGCTATTCACAGGTGTGATCATAAGTACACTGTAGCTTCGAACTCCTGGGCTCAAGTGATTATCCTGCTTTAGCCCCTTCAGTAGCTGGGACTACTGTGCCTGGTTTCTCCTTAGGTTTTAGTCATTGCTATGTCTGTGAGTCTCCATCTTCAGCTCCTAGTCTCAGTCTTTGTTTCTGTCTTCTTATGGTCAATAAACAGTGTCTATGTAGATGAACTATGTTTCTCAAAGTTTTCTCTGCTACTCATTTCCCACTGTCACATCTTTCAGCTGCATCAAAAGTCCAGGGAAAGTTGGACAAGTTACCCCTCACACGCTAAAATGATGAATGAAATTGGGAAAACTCTATTTAAGGGCACAAATGTGACCTATGTGATAAGCTTATGATATGGCCATGAGAAGACAGTTTCTCTATGTCTCCCAGTAGAGTGTCAGTTTGTGTGAGAGAGAAATGGACAAATACTCTTGGAGAGGAGTGGCCATTGAGAGATTGCCAGGGAGCGGAAAAAAGTTTTTGGGACGTCATTTTCAAATACATGCAGTTATCAAGAAAGAACCATAAGTCAACCAAGCTCAAATGCAATATGAGAAATAACTCTACTGGGAGTTGAGAGTTGGGAGCTCCTTCCTCAAGAAGGAACATGTGAGATCTGCATGTTCCAGTCTAGCAGCTTCTGCAAACTGGAAGAGTTGTTCTTTGCCCCACTCAGTTAGGGATGGAGCTTGATGTCACGCTGAGATCCCTAAGAACATGCAGAACTTCCTGAGCATGAGCAGTGTGGTACCTTGGAGTACACACTCTGATAGCTTTGAAGCCAGTGGAGGATATCCAGCTGTTTTTAGGGTTGTACTGATGTGGGATGTGTTTAATCTTGGGTTGCATGTTTATGTTCATAACTGTGCAGACTGCTTGTGACTCCTAATTGTGTGCATGCCATCATGGGCGTGCCTCTGGAGGCATTCTCATAAGATTAGGGAAATGTCTTGATGACTCTAAGAGATTTGACAGGGTTTGTGGGTCAAAAGATTTGATTGTATGATGGATTCCTGCTCTATTCCTTTACCCTAAGTTAGAGTATATTCTGGTCTATTTCTAGGATGTTGCCAGTTTGTGTGTGTGTGTGTGCGTGCATGTGTGTGTGTATTTTTTATGATAAAATAAGAATGCTTACTTTCGATTTGGTAGAAAAATCCACCCAGCTCTCCAAATAAAGTAACTCCAAATCCACTTAGTAAAAACATATTATTATTAGAGCTTAACTGCAAGCTGGAGGGCAAGGGACAAAAAGAAATCTCTGGAGTCAGCAGGATTGCCCAGGAAGCTTGCATTCATTGCCAGTATCCACTCTCTCTGATTCCTGTAGCCCTGTGTCCTGGCGCTGTGTTCTTAGCTTCTGTCAGTTCCTTCCTGCTGTGCCCCTCCTCAGCTATGGATACTGAAGCCTTCATCCTGCAGGGTTAGAACTGTCTAGTGATTGAGCATAGCTTTACCTTCTATCAATGTGAATGTCCACTGTAGGTGACGCCTGGATTTAATCTGCAACCTGAAGGGATAATCCTTTGGTTATCTAAAGGACACCAGATACACAGAAAGCTGTAGCCTTTTTCCCCCCTCATCATCACCATGTGGACCCTGTCTACATGAGGAAATTTCTGTCCCAGTTTTGAGTTTGTCCACCATAGTGGTCTCAGCACTCCTCAAAGCCAAGCCAGCGCTTTTAAAACCACCAACATATTTAAAATAGTATGTTCTTACTCGTCAGTCTTGTATTGCTGTCGCTTTTATTAGTTGAGTATGCTACAGGCTAAACCATGGTCTCCTCTAAGGTTCCACGAACAATTTGAGGTCAAGAGGAAATAACTGTGACAGTATTATGTTATTAATAACATAAAATCAATTCACTCATTAATTGCATGAAACTAAATACACAGTGGGGCTGCAATGATTACAGATTTTCTTCGACGTGGTTCCACTCCTCAACCAGTTCCCTTTGGAGGCATGCTGGGCTTGTTGGCCCACTGCTCTCATGACAGCATGATGGCAAGGGAGTAATAGGACAGAAATAGCTGGGTGTCTCTGGGCTGGATCTTCACACAGTCTTTAATCTGGTGAGTCATGTTGTAGGCATGGTAACCTAATTATTTCCTGGACAGAATTAACTACACATGTATATTCACCTTCTCTACCTGCTGTCAAAGATCACATCTTTCTCCAGGGCCTTGATGCTACTTTTATATCCATTCTCTCCTACATCACCAGTTTCTCCTTCTGAGCTGGTGATTTCCAACAGCATACAAATACGCTCTAAGATCTCCCATGTTAAAAAACTTTCTCTTGACTCCACTTCTCAGCTCCCCTAAATAGAGAAACTTTTGGAATGCATTATCTATACTCACTGCCTCCATTTCTTTATCTCTCATTCATACTTTAACTTCAGTCAAGTTTCTACCCAGCACTCCCACTTAAATGGTTTTCCTGTCCACTGAAACCATTCTCCATAACGGTGGGTACCAATGGCTTCCATGCCGTCCATCTAAACAGCTGTTATCTGGCCTCATTAAATTTGACCTTTAAGCAGCACCAACCACTCCAGTTGTTGGCTGGTTGACCTTTTCCTCCATTTACTATCACTTTCATCTCTTGGCTTCCAAAAAACACTGAACTCTGCTGGTTTTCCACTGATATCATCAATGGATATGGTTTGGTTCTGTCTCCACCCAAAATCTCATCTTGAGTTGTAGTCCCCATAATCCCTATGTATCAAGGGCAGGACCAAGGGTGAAGGTAATTGGATCATGGGTACAGTTCCCCTCATGCTGTTCTTGTGACAGTGAGTGAGTCTCACAAGATCCGATGGTTTTATAAGCATCTGGCATTTCCCCTGCTTGCACTTCTCCTTCCTGCTGTCCTGTGAAGAAGGTACCTTTCTTCCCCTTCCACCATTATTGTAAGTTTCCCAAGGCCTTCCCAGCCATGTGGAACTGTGAGTCAATTAAACCTCTTTCCTTTATAAATTACCCAGTCTCAGGTATTTCCTTATAGCAATGTGAGAACAAATTAATATAGCAACTGCTCCTTTTCAGCCTCTTGCTGGTTTTTCCTTCTCTACCTAATTTCCAAATGTTGTCATATCTTGGAATTCAATCTTGAGCTCTTTTCCTTTTCCATCCACTCTCTCCCCGCAAGGTTTTAGTGTAAAATCTGGTTAAGTCTAACTCGGACCTACCCCACTTAGCTTCTTACCTATCCAGTCCGCTATCAATATTTCTCATTTGAATGTCCACATGACTTCTGAAATTTAATGTGTTACAAATGGAGGGGTTTCTTTCTCTCACAAACTTAGTCTTCCTGAGTATTAACCTTTCCAATAAATGGCATTACCAAACTCTCAGTTGCTCAGGCCAAAATTCTAAACATTATACTTGACTTTTCCCATTCCTTCAACCCCTCCCACATTCATTCCATCAGAATTCTTGTTGGTTCTACCTCAAAAATAGATTTAAAATCTGTCTAGTTCTCCCCATCTTCAACACTGCCACGTAGGTGCAACTGGCATTATTGTGTTTAGTCTTGCTCCCTTTCAACCCATGCTCTATTTAACAAAATTAGTTTTGTTTTTTTTTTCTTTTTCGTTTGACGCAGAGTCTTGCTCTGTTGCCCAGGCTGAAGTGCAGTGGCAGGATAATGGCTCACTGCAGGCTCCACCTCCTAGGCTCAAGCAAACCTTCCAACTCAGCCTCTCAAGTTGTCAAGACTACAGACGCGTGCCACCATACCCAGAATATTTTTTATTTTTTGTAGAGATGGGTTCTTGCCATGTTGCCCAGGCTGTTCTCAAACTCCTGGGCTCAAGTGATCCTCCTCCCTCAGACTCCCAAAGTACTGGGATTACAGGTGGTTTTTTCAAATAACAAACTAGATATGTCACTCTCCTGCTTAAAAGTCTTTAATAGCTCCCTATTTCTCTTACAGTAAATTTTGAACTCAACCTTGACCTGTAAGTTATGTCTGATTTGTCTGCTGCACTTCTCAGACATATTTTATATCATGCTTCCCTCTCATTCACTGCTTCCTAACCACACTGGCTTTTCTGTTACTCAAATGCACCATTGCCTTAAGGCATTCTCATTCACTGTGTCCATATCCAATTCATTCATTTTCACACAACCATCTTATTCTCATCCGTCAGGGCTCAGCCCAAATATTACGTTTGTTGAGGACCTCTTCTGACCATTCCTTCTAAAGTGGTTCCCCCATTTTACCCTCTATTGTCCCACCTGGTTGTTTCTTCCTAATGCCTATTATAATATGTAAATATCTTATTTGTTTAGCTAGTTGCTTATTATTTGTCC